ATCGATTAGAGGGTTTTTCGACATTAAAACAATATTTCGGATAGATTTTTAAGGTGCATATGTGATTTTACATTTTAAGGTTGCAACCTTATATAAATTTTTTCTTTTAAAAAAAAGGCTCTGATGATATATTTGAATTAACAATAAAATAAGTTGATTTAAAGATGGAAGGGGACTCTCTATTATACACGCAACCATGGAGTTTCCTTGCAATTCACAGTTTTTTATTTTTTTTCTCTACAAAATGGCTTTTTTACCATCTGTCTTGGCCACATGACCCACCCTTACCAACCTCTACTCAAAACAATCGAGCGTTCCACGAAATGCCTTTCATCTCTTTCTAAAGAAAACGTGAGGCTGGCCATGGACTGGACCACAAAGCTCCAAAAAAATAGAGCCTAGGCTACAAATTGTGACCTGAGGGCCGAGGGACCTGATTGGCCGCCAGTCTTCCTTTTTTCAATTTCTTTTTTATTTTTGACTTAGTCCGGCCTCGTCCCTCCCGAACAAGCATGAGTAGGCTCTATGAGAGCAAGGGCCAAGCTGGCCCGGTGGATTGCCACCCTTGGAAACGATGGGCCCCAAATCTAGAGATAAGGTGAAACTTCAATTTCTCCCTTTTTTTTATTATTATTATTATTATTATTATTTTTTTGGATGTAAGATGAGATTCGTGAATTAGTCCACACATCTCACTTTCTTATATTAATTAAGCTAGGGTCCATTCTCTCTCTCTCTCTCATCATCAACTAGCCTAAGCCCAAATTAGGGTTGGCAATGGGCAAGAGTGCCCCAGCCAGCCCACTCTAAAAAAAATATGGCCAAGGGCCAAGTTCAGCCTGGTGCGGCCCTAATTCTATTCAATGATTTTTGTTGCTTTTTCTTCACTTGTTTTTTGTCCCGACCCAGCCGGGCAAGGCTGGGCCAGGGCAGCCCCTACATGGCGAAGGCCGAGGCTGGGCGGACCGTATGAGCACGGCATTAAGAAACTGACTCTCACTTGTTCTTAGGGGAAGCGCCTTCGAGAGTAAGACACTCCAGCTACGCTGTTCACGAAATCAACATGTGCTCACTCTTCTAGAAGATAAGGCATACTTTTCTTATGACGTAGCCAAAGTACACATGTATTATTATTAGGTCATTGCCCTTTAGGACCATACTCTACTTCTACTGCCTTCGTCAACATATCTACGTAGGATGATTTTTTCATCCGAAAGTTTAGAATCACTCGAGACTTACTGCATTATCATTCTCAAAAAAAATTTGAAATTTGAGGTTTCAAATACTTAGATCTCGTCATCTAAAAATTGGATAGTGTTTATTCAATATTAAGGCATAATTAAGCAATTTTTTTTTATTGAGGTTAATCTATGAATTGACGGGATTGCACTTGCAGTTTGTATAGAGCCTAGGCTCTAAACAATCAAATTAGAGCCTACCTTCAAATAGTATCGAGAAATGCAGTTTCAGTACTGGAAATCTTTGTGATAGCCTTCAAACATATTTTTATCTTTAATTATAAATTTTAAAGCTTCAAAAATAATGTAGATCGATATATCTATGAAAACTTAAAAATCTTTAAAATTGACGGTCCAAAAACATATTATAAAATACACTATTTTCAAAACTTGAAATCCATTTTTTTCTCATATCCATACATCTTGATGTCAATATGATTAATTTGAAGATATTTGAGCATGAAAACAACATCTTCTAGTGAAAGTTTTGAGGTAGGCTCAAATTTGATTGTTTAGAGCCTCGGCTCTATATAAACTTTTTCCAAATTTAAAACCCTAAAATTTATTCTAGGTGGGGTTTTATCCGCTAGAGTAGAATATCTTTTGGCTTATTATCATCCCAAGCTCCAAGTTTTGGACAAAGCTCGGAAATACATAGTTGGTATGAGGCCTCTTCGGTAAACCCTTCTTTAAAAGCTTTTGTTATTTGCATCCCAAAATATTTTGAAGGAAAATGGTTCAATTGTCCTGCAACTCTATCAAGTAAATCTTCACCTCATAACTCATAGAAAATTGTGTAAAACCTTTACATCCATCATCTCGGCTTGAATATTATGGTTATAAAAAACATTAGGATTTCAAGCTCTAAAAAGAATGCATATTGTAACAAATTATTTACACAGTCTATTTCGCCCCTAAAACTAAATATTCACATAACTGTAAGATCTGTACCATTGTTTGAGTTTCAAATTATATTATCGGTATTAAAAATTATTTTTAGAGCTATAATGAAGATTTATGTTGCCGAAAGTGTTCTCTGAATTTGTTTTTTATAAAGCCTAGAAACTTCTTCCTTATTTAAATAGAAACGGGGAATATCCTTTCCAAGAGCAAAAGGTTTATCCTGCGGACTGGAGTGAGAAACTAGAAGGCTAGATATTTTATGCATCTTAAAAAGTGATTAGTATAGGAAAGAAGAATAATCCCCGGCATCTTTTTGATGGTTTTTTTTTCAATGAAGATTTCAAGTGTTTTTTATTTCTCTGATCTGCATCAACCCTGTGGTTGCCTTTCAAGTAATGAAGAATACTCCCCCATATCACCCTCACCTATATCACCCTACCAAAAGAATACAAGGAACAAGACTTGGTCTCTCTCTCTCTCTCTCTCTCTCTCTCTCTCTCTCTCTTTGTATAAGTGCACACATACAGAGAACTCATGACTCTGCCAGTGTGGCCCTCGAAAAGAGAACTCGTAATTCAGTGTTGGGTTGGATCTTGATCATAGTTTTTAAGCACTCGAGCTTTTTTAATAATAAAAGAGATTGATCTTTAAGAAGTAAAAGTTACCTGCAGCAGCATTTGGGAGTTTTGGAGCTCATGAAATAACATAAATTTTGTCCCACAGAACCTCCTAGTTTTCTCACCTACTCTACCATGGGGATGCCATGGCTGTAGGCCTTTGTGGCTCCCATCGCTGTCGGCTTTTGTGGCACCCCGATGGGAGGGTCCTGGCCCTATTAATGATTACTTTTCTTTAGGAAAAAGTTTACATAAAGTTGCAATTTTACGTGGGATGTCATACAATGAGACCACTTATCTCTAATTATAACCATCTAATGTAAAATCTGATTTTTTACGTGTGACATAAAGTTTGAGAAAATTTCTCTTGAACTTTGAGCTTAATCAATAAAATAAATGTAAGCATCCAATTTCACATCCATTGGTCAAGATCAATTGTGACCACCTCGTACTAAAGGTAAATGATCTCATTATATACTTTCCCATTTTATATTATAGAAATAAGGTATATCTCAAATTGATGGAGAAGAGTGTTACCTTTCAATTAATCATCTCAATCTTGAGATATATGGATATAAATAATAATAATAATTTTAAATTTTAAACACAGTGTATCTTGCAATAAGTTATCTGGACGGTCTATTTTCAAATATTTATATATCTACTAAATCTATATTATTTTTAGAGTTAAAAATTTTATAATTAGAATTAGACATGGATTTGCAAGCCCTCGCAATATTTATAATACTAGAACTGTACCACCTCAAAATTTGGAGGTGCGCTTTATTTGTATTATATAAAACTCAACGATTAAATGGCACTCAGATATAAATAAAAAATAAAAAATAAAAAATAAAAACTATTACTTTTATTTAATAGATCAGTGAGGATTTCATGCCCCTAAAAACTGAAAATTATGAAACCTATATAAAGAGCCATCATATTTCATTTTTTATTTCATTTTCCAAAAATTTCTTTTCTAGTGATGATTTAATTTGGATAATAATAATTTTGGAACATGGGGAAGACGATTATTTATAGGAATGGGCATTCGCGATTACCATGTGTGACTTACGGTCAGCCAGCGTCAGACCTGAAAATAGTTACTCGTCAATGGCGTTTCATTTGGAAAATAAATTATGGAACTTTCCAGAGGCGATAAGGAATGGAAGGTAACGGTCAATGACAAAAACACCCTCATCTAAAAGTTGAAAAATATCAAAAATAGGCTCGTCTCGTTGTAGTAATTCGATTTCCCAACACTAATGACCAGAAGGACCCTTAGCTTTTTGGCAAATGCTAACACATGCATTCCTCTCCCAAGTTCCCAAAATGCCCTAAATCTATTGATGTGAAGGAGGCATTCGTTTGTACCCCAAATTAGCCATGCCAGTAGAAATTGGGAACGCCAAAAGTTATAGGATTAGAATTAGCCAAAAAGAAGGAAATAGAAAAAGGAAAAGATTATTGAGTGTAAAATTATGTTTGAGCAAAATTTTTGAAGAATTATGTTATATTTGGGAACAGAAAAAACAAGAAGAGTGATATCGAAATAAGGATGAAGTTTATGTATGAAGCTTTATAAAAACAAAGGAAAGCCTCACTTATAATCCGCATCCAAAAAGCATTTTGAGCGTCCAAAATATCTATAATAGCTTTAAAATCAATTTCCAACACTGATCGTGAAATTGAAAGCTCAAAAGATAATACAGATTCGTGAATAATTATTTCTATGGTGAAATGAATAGTCTATGTTATAGTATACATTATTTTTACAATTTAAAAACCAAATATTTGTTAATAACTATAATGATAAAAGCCGAGACGATTGATCTGAACGTTTTTTCGATGTAAAAGCTATAGTTTTGAGTTAGTTTTGTTGTGAGACTTTAATTATCAAAATATTTTTTCCTCAAAATAATACTCCAACAGGGCAATTTGAAAAGAAAACACAAACAAACTAGGGGCATTTTAGTCCAATTAACGATATCCGGAATTTAATTGGAAAGTTCAGCTTATTAGAGGAACACGTAAAGAGGTGAGCAGCGTTTGAAAGAAAAGACGAGAGGAAGAAGCGCGTAAGGCCGGCCGCACTCTCTCTCTCTCTCTCTATCTATCTGACTCTTGTTTCTTTATCTCTCTACAATTCGAGCCCACGTATGCTTGGTCGTCACGTAATTGAAGGCTACCCCACGAGACGAATCGTGCCCTCAAAAACGCCTCCAACTTAAGCTTCTTCGCATTTCACCGACCGTCAGAGAAAGCGGCCACTGCTGCTCTTTTATATATATATATATAGAGAGAGAGAGAGAGAGAGAGAGCTGCAATTGCAGGTTCATCTCCACCAGAGGTAGTGTGTGAGGTAGAGAGAGAAAGGGAAACATGGGAAGGAAGCTGAACGCTCTGTTGGGGAGGAACTTCAAGACTTCAAAGTTCAAAACCCTCCTCAAACTCACTGTGTCTCGCCTCGCCTTCCTTAAGAACCAGCGAAACAGCCGGTGCACCCACTCCCGCAACGATGTCGCTGAGCTTCTCAAGCTCGGCCCCCTAGAAAGAGCTCTTCTTCGAGTAAGAGAACTCCTATATTCCTCCATTGAACAGAGAGTTTTATATTGAAGTATAATCGTAGCATTGTGATTTTTTGTTTTTTTTTTGTGTTTGGTAATTTGTAGGCCGACCATGTTATCAGGGAGCAGAATATGATGGATGTTTTTGATCTGATAGAGAGCTACTGCCATCTCTTGACGGAAAGAGTCATTCTGATCGAAAATGAAAAGTGAGTATCTCTCTTCTCTTACTCTCTCTCTCTCTCTCTCTCTCTCTCTCTACTCTACTACTACTACTACTACTACTACTTACTTACTTACTTACTTACTTACGTTACGTTACGTTACGTTACGTTACGTTACGTTACGTTACGTTACGTACGTACGTACGTACGTACGT